GGGGGGGGAAGAGAAGGAGAGAGAGATGAGGAAGAAAAAAAAGGGTCTGTGATGCTACAGATTTGTTTGAAAAGAACAATAAAGAGTCAACCACCAGAAAGATGAAGACTACCCACCAGGGCGTCCCAGCACAATGTAGAAGTCCATGCCGTAGATGCCAATGCCAGGGTCGTACTTGATGCCCAAGTCAATGTGTTCCTGGATACCGAAGCCAAAGTTGCCGGTGGCAGAGAAGTTGTTCCTCCTCAACTCGTACTCACGTACCTGGGGGGAATTATTCATTTGTTTTAGTTTTAGTAAGTGTATTACGGCATTTGCAACACAATAAGGTCATGTAAGTGTCGAAGATTAGAGGTGTTACAGGAGAGTAACAAACACAAAAAGGCTTTAAAAGGTCATGTAAGTGCCGAAGATTAGGAATTAGGGGTGTTACAAAAGAGTAACAAACAAAAACGAAAGAGATGGGGAGACAAAGACAATAGATGTTTGATAAGAACGAAGAAGAGAAACCACACCAGAGCACCCGCCAACCACCCACGGGAATGATTCACACAAGTCATCAGACATGATACGACAAAGGGGTACAGTGTGCAAAAGAGCGCGTATGGTCGAGAAGGTGCGTGTGCATAGGGACGGGGAGGAGAGATGGTGGCTTGACCCATGGTTACTACAGACAGACAGGACACTGAAACAAAGAAAAGCCATTTCCCTTCCCACTCCCAACACAAATAGGTCATAAAGTGCCGTAGACTGGAGGTATTTCAGAACCCCCCCCATGAAAGGAGGAGAGATAAGGGCGATACATGTTTTGATACGAACGAAGGAGCAGACCAGCACCCACAAAGACAGATGGATAATCAAAATAAATTGGACTGCCAAAAGAGACATTGAGACAATCCCTGGGCCCTGTGGGGGGCTTGGCAGAATTTTACTTACTTATCAGCTTCACCAAACCATGACTCAAACCCAAAGAAAGATAGTACTACAAACAATCCTTTTCAATCTACGTTGAAAAATGCATCCACACACCAATGACCCTGTTACTGTTAAGCTGTTTACAAGCAAGAGCTTGAGTAAAGAGAAGCACATCGACACAATAATGATCATTTAGTGCTGGGTAAAGTAAGAAAAGACGGACAACAACAAAAAAAGCAAAGAAGCAGGACGTACCAGAGGCGCCCTCCAACCACCCGCTACAAGCAAGACTATTAATCCAATGTGAACAACAATCATCAGTGTCCCATGTAAATAGTAACAGCCACAGCTACAACAAGCCAGGCCGTGTTGCAAACAGGGAGTTGATGTAGCACAACAGTATCTTAGTCAGACTTGAGTCAAGTGAAACAAAAGCCTGTGCCAGTGTGCTTGTCTTCCAAAGTTCGATATCTACTCTCATCGAGAAAAATAGTTTCAATAAACAATACAGATCTTCAAACAATACCAATCAAATCTGTTATTATGTTATTTCTTGAAACACATGCAAGCCATTTTCCTGTACATGTAACAAGCCTTGAATTATGCAAACATTACACAAAGACTAGTCACACTGCCAGTCCTGCAAGCCATGTAAACAGATAAAATGACACAGTGGGCTACCGCTTCTAGACAGACCATGTGCTCGCATTGTCTATCCGTTGGACAGTATGAAAAGTGATTCAATTTGATGGGAATACTCATGTCAATTTTAATACAAATGATGAAAAGGAAAAAGTGATGGAGAACAGGAGAGAGAAGACTGACATTGAAGAGCAAAGTCAAACCCCACCCGAGGGTCTCCTAGCCACCTACTTACTCTTGAAAGAACCCTGCAAACCGAGTAGCAAAAAACCCAAACAAACCACAACACAATAGTGGAGAAATTCAAACAACTAGAAATACTGCTAAAACAAACAGTAGCAAGAATTTCATCAGTGTCCCCTGTAAATAGTAACAGCCACAGTTACAACAAGCCAGGCCGTGTTGCAAACAGGGAGTTGATGTAGCACAACAGTATCTTAGTCAGACTTTAGTCAAGTGAAACAAAAGCCCGTGCCAGTGTGCAAATTATAAACACAAGACTCAAAAACTATATAATAAATGTTCAGCATTGATAAGGTGTTGCATAAACCTTTAAATAAAGCGAAAGAAAAATTCAGTAGACCCAATACTCAACAAAGCTCAGTGATTTATATTGACAATAACACAAATTTATATTAAAGCACCTGTCAGTCCCAAATTCTAATCAACACAAGCCTTTCAACAATGAAAACAAAAAACACCACCCCTTTCCAAAAGAGAATGAGAACTTTGATCCCAGAGGATGACTCACAAAGCCTGTCGATTATTTAGCAATAACTTCAGGACCAGGGCCCAGCTTTAAAACATGACAAAGTATCGCTGAGCAATAACATATTTAATGTGCATTAGTACCGTTTGGAAAATAAAATTTATAGCACTATAGAAAAAACTATAGGGAAAGAAAAAGATAGTAAGATAGTAAGTAAAACAGTTTTCAACCATCTTCCACATAGCCATGAGGACAGAGAGACAAACATCCAAGTCTGAACAATGACCTAAGAGACAATTTGTTGTTCATCCCGAGGACAAATGTGATACACAGAACTAATGCCGGTGTCCCCTATAAATAGTAACAGCCACAGCTACAACTAGCCAGGCCGTGTTGCAAACAGGGAGTTGATGTAGCACAACTGTATCTTAGTCAGACTTTGAGTCAAGTGAAACAAAAGCCCGTGCCAGTGTGCTAGTCTAAAAAACGAGACCCATCGTCAGCTCAACAACTGTATCACAAACTTGCAACATTGATCAAGTGCTAAATAAACATTCAAACGAAGAGAAAGAAAACAATCGATTTTTATAAAGATTCGGTGATACATTGATTATTATAACATAAAATTTAGCACTTAAAAGAACCAGTCTCAAAATAAATGAATGTGCCAAAACCACACGAGACCACCAAGTACCAAGCCTTTCATACACACAAAAAGCACCACTACTTTCAAAGACAGCCACCCATAGAAATTTCGATGACTGAGGATGAGCACAGACCCCTGTCGAGTTTTTAGCAAGCAATAAATTATAACCAGGGCCGGTGAAGCCCTTTGAAAACTTGAAAAAGTATAGTTTAAAAAAAAAAATTTTTTAACTCCTGTAACACAATAAGATTTATATAAGCGCTGAAGATTTAGGTGTTACAATAGAGTAAGCAACAGAAAAAGGAGAGATAAGGGTGACAGATGTTTTGATAAGAAAGAAGGAGCAAACCACACCAGAGTACATGCTAAACATCCACGAATAAGGTAACACTCAAAGTAACAGGACTACAATTTTTTAATAAATAGAACTAATGTTGGTGTCCCCTGTAAATAGTAACAGCCACAGCTACAACTAGCCAGGCCGTGTTGCAAACAGGGAGTTGATGTAGCACAGCAGTATCTTAGTCAGACTTTAGTCAAGTGAAACAAAAGCCCGTGCCAGTGTGCAGCCATAATTTAAAAAAAAAATATGTTTGCATGCATATTTGACACACCCATTACAAAGCAATGACTAAATAAAGACTGTATCAACTTGTCGAAACAAAGTAATGCCGTTGTCAATTCAGTCACACATTTGACACCCTGAGACTGATTTCCTCTTCTCACCAGCTACAGCACAACAAATTAACATCACGGAACAATTAAAAATTAATAGAAACATTATCGCGGCAACTAGCAAACAGCAGCACCCTCGACAAATTCTGCGACGCAGCAGAATTTTAGTCAATGCTTGTTGACCTTCCCAGTTTCTGACATTCATTCCTAAATGATCCCCAGTCAACAGGTAACTATTTACTACATTAATTTAAGCAATATCAGTATGACATCCCCACCAGTCCAAACACAGGGGACAGGGATCCTGCAGAACTAACCTTCAGGCCCTTCTCCAGAATTTCCTCTGCCTTAGCCCCACGGACTGTGCAGTGAACAGCGATTTTCTCATTACGCCTGATTCCAAAAGATCTCACAGTGTAGCGAGCTGAAACAAGGAAGAAAATATTTTGAAATAAAAGTCCATATGTCAATAATAACCTGAACTGTAAAACAAGGAAACAACAAACGAAACAGTTAAAGGTTTTTGATACCACAGCAAAGGCCAATATAATGCTGGATCAATAACAACCAACAGTTGACCAGGGAGGACAAGCCAATCACTTGTTCTTCACAATCACATAACATGCACACTTACACAATGTTTCTAAGGCATGTGAGCTGTATTGGTAAAAGCATCCAATGGCCTTGCAAAAGCTGGTATCATCGTGGTCATTATTTTCCTTCATTAATAACTAAGCACTACCACTGGTAATGTTTCAGTTTCAAAACACAAATACCAGGAAACTCAAAAGCGCGAAGCCACTTACTCTCAATAATGCCACCCCAAGCAACTTAAAGGACTCCCAAACATGCACGCACACATTAAAAAAAACCCCAAAACAATTGTTCTTCACCTTCCCCTCGGCAGCAGGATCTCCCATGGGAACTGTACTTCATTAGAATTTAAGCAAGCGTTATACCCAGGACACAAAGTGGTAGGATACGAGCTGTGCCTCTTGAAATATGCCCCCCCCCCCTCCAAATAAGTGGGTTCCCTGGCAGAGATAACTGTAGGTCTATCTGCAAAGCAAAACTAATGGACAACAGATTTCATAAAGACAAGACCTTTAGAGAAGACGGGTGTTTGTCCAGTCAGCTGTTCCAGCACTTTGGCAGCACGGGTCAGCCTATCACCAGACTCTCCCACACAAATGTTGAGACAGAGCTTGCGGATACGCAGCTCTCTCATCACATTGATCTTGTTTGCTTTCTCCTTATCCTGAAGAGAAGAAGAAAAACCAATCATTGACAGGTCTAGAATAGAAACCAATAACACCAATAATAAAAGAGGCATTGTGCAAGTTGATCTGTTGTCAAGTTTGATTCCATTTCAAGAACAAAAGACATGTGACAAATACAGTAGACCTACTTAAATACGAGTAGATCTACTCTACTTGTATGCCTATGTACTATGTGAAGCTATAAAGATAATTTCAATGGAGAGCAAAGCCAACTACTCATAGGTTACATAAACAACTATTACTTTACCAGGCTACTACTAGATTTAGTATAGTAGTCCTCAGTGGTATCACTACTACTCTACTACAAGACCAAGATCTCTTCTACTAATCTATAATTTCACTTCTTTGATTAAAGAATAGTCAGGGAGGAAACTCGCAACAGCGAGCACCTTGCACACCTGCAATAGACCCAAATATAGATGACGTACTTACGACAACTATTTTTGTCGTCTTCCGGGGTTTCCCTCACCAGTAACTGTTGACTAAATCTCGCCGTGTTTGTTTTTGTTGTTGTATTAATTTGTGTTATAACAATCTCAGCAATTCTTGTTCCATAAATTTACCTTCTCCTGAAAGTTGTACACACACAAACTCACACAGCCCAAGCAGTCAGCGGTGAAACCTTAGTGACGTAGCCCATCGCGTGCTAAGGCTAAGCAGCAAAGCGGGCCAGCCACGGTGAGATCTAGATCTAGTCAACTCTCAGAAGATGACAAAAATACCTCATCTATATTTGGGCCAATTACAGAGGTGTGCTCGGTGCTCACTGAACTGTAGTTGTAGCTTCGTTCGTTAAAGCCCAAAGCTGAACGCCCGAGACCCTGAATTGCCAGGTAATCGTTGAGTGAACTTAGCGTAAGACTGGAAGGGAACACTCAGAAAATCAAAATCCAAGCAAAGCCAAAGGAATTGTTATTTGCCGGTTTGGGCCCCCAAGAGTCAAGAGTGGGGGGGGGGGGGGGGGCATGCCCCCCAGAATTTGACCATAATTTGCTGTTTAGCAGTTGGGTTGCATCCCTGTTCTTTGTGTTGCCTATTTGGTCATCTAAACTGACTAAACTTTCAGATTTCTTCTCTGGATGTAAACAAATGCTGCAATGTATAAACTTCAACGAATGGAACTACAAGATCAGCGTAGCTAAATGTGGACTGAGGAAACACACCCACACACTCAAGACTTGACAATGACAATTAATGGTTTTGAGAGGTAGGCCTACAGATCCAATTATTCTAATTGAATGTTATGTTGGTGGTATCCCGGCCTGTCTTCAGCGGTCAGTGATTTGAAGCTTCACTCAAGTTACTCAATCACTAGTCTACACTAGAATCTAGATTCTCTCTAGATCTAGAATCTACTACTAGATATCTAGATCTAGATCTAAATCTAGGCCTACACTCAAGACACTGAACAGTGTCGTGCATTTTTTGGTCACGACTGAAATCGCAATCCCCACAGAATTGGAGACAGAATCTGCTTCCAACCCAATGGTCCCATAGAATCTATCCCTTTCACAAACATAACAGACAATTCATGTAGTTAGTCTTTATTACACCATAAAGTTTGTGCTAATGGTTCAAGTACCAGAAGAATACTTCCCCTAATTTCTGATAACATAGCAAGTGGCATTGAAAGAACACTCGCCGAAAAGCAGAACATAAACAGAAACTAGGGTACGTTGCATGAAGTTTATTTAACGGGATTCTGTGAGGCCCATGGGTGCAAACATAATTCCAAAAACCTAAAATGGAAATATGGCAAGCACTCAGTACACAAATCACCCTAGAAAGTATAGCAGATCAAAGATGATGACAGATATAAAAGTACGACAAGGAAAAGAGGTACCCACCGCCATGTTGAAAGTCTAAAAGGAAGTAGTTTTAGTTTTCTACGAATGATGTGCGTAATGTCGTAAAATAAATCAAATTGTTTTCATTAAAATAGGCAAAGAAAACACTACAAACGTATGAATGAGATATAATTTATACATTTTACATTTTTCTACCAAAAATATGACAGAATTTAGTTTGACATATAACAACATTGACCCCCAAAACAGGAAGTTCTTTGTGCGACTTTGTCACGTGACCCATTGTTTCTACATAGCAACACAGTAAACCTCTCTGTGACAGGCTTTCTGTTGTAAAGCACAGAATACACACATCGCTCAAGATGAGTTCTGGCAGTGAAGAAGAAGATGTTGGACCTTCTGTAGACTCCAATGACTTAGAGGAACGTATTGCAGCACGTAGAATAAGAATTTCTAAACGTGTTGAAGCTGCCCGAAAGTAAGTTTCACCTGATACTGATATGGGGTATAGGCCCTTTTAATTAGGTAATTTTGCAGTATTGGACCCATCTCGCAAAGAGGCATAAATTTGCGATTTTCTTGAATTTTGCGATGTGAAAAAATAGGCCCATATAACCCTCCGTTGGGATCCTATTATATTATAACTCTATCGGTTTTAAAGGAGAAAAAGAACCCCCCCCCCAAAAAAAAACAACCTTATTCTCTTACCTTAGCCTACTCACACTGCTCTTTGCAATTATCCAAGAAAGAACACTTAAAAATTGTTGTCTAAGGAATCACAAGACTCTTCCTGCAGCGGCATAAACACTTATCCTCACGAAATGAGCACTGCGTATTACATTTCAGGCACACTTCCTCCTTCGGTAAAACACCATGCAAACCTACAATATCGGTATCATTATCTCGCAAACGGGGCATTTGCGATAGTTTTGAATGTCATATTCATTAATAACACACCCTAAAACCTACAAAAACATTAACAAAGTAGTCTGCATAAGTTGGGTCCACTTCTGCAATAATACCGTATATTATCATATATGGGATTTTTATGTTGTGAAGACTATGGCATGATATGGCAATAAAGACACTGGCCGTAGACATCAAGTTGTGTGTGTGTGTGTGTGTAAAGAGGGGGGGGGGGAGGTCGTATCATTTTATATCTTGCAATATCTGAAGATTAACTTCCCTTTGTTCATTTTTATCATTTTCATATGGTCACAATTCAGAGAGATCGCTTACACTCAGCAAAGTAAAACTGAACTTGAATTATGATCAGTAGGCTACCCCATTCCTTTCCACTATGTGAGTACAAGTATTCACCATTGCAGTGTTTGAATGGTGAACTCATTTATTGCTCACAATCAATTCACAAATTGTATCTTAATAGATATAATGAGTGAATTTTGCTTTTGCATAATGAGTGAATTTTGCTCTTGCGTGATGAGCTGCAAGATCTGAGGGAGTGATGTAGGTTTGCGGAGTAAGTGGGAAAACACAAAGGCGGCCAATTTCTGTCACCTAACCACTAGGCACCGTAAGTTATAAGAATCAATCTATTGAGTTTCTGCAAGCATGACCAGGACACGGCCTACTCTCTGCGGGATCGGTGGCAGCTTATTTTATTGGAATTACATTTTTATTCCTACTCATCAAAAGCCGCTGCTCGGTGCACAGGAGTGCCCCGTCAGTGGGCCGTCACCGGATGTGTGACGTCATAGGGCTGGACCAGGAACTTTTTCAACTGACCATCATCTCAACAGAGAAACATCGGAGACAAAATCTGATTAGATTTTTAAAGTCAGCGACCCAAATTCTACAGCATCACTGAACAAAATTTGAGTTTGTGAAATATTTTTAAAAAAATTATGGAGAGGTGAGCTCTGTATGTTGTGCATGCGGCGCGCGTGAGTATGTGTGTGTGTTTGTATGTGTGTGTTCAAGAAGCACAGTTATTCACATATTTTGCTATTATTTTAGCATGAACAATGGATGTGGATGCCTTGATTTCCGCTGTATGGGATAAAAGAGATAAATTTAATGTTATGCAAATCAAATAACCACAAACAAGCTGTGGAAAGAAACCGCAATTGAGGTAAAAAATGCAGGTAAGTAGCATTTGCATGTCAGTTTATTTCATCCCCAATTTTCCAAGAATGCTATCCAAATCCAAGGTTAAAAATTCTTCACCCGAAGAAGACAACATGTTGGAATTTACAACACGACAGTTGTTCATAGCACAAAACTCAAAGCCCAACCTGTCAAATCTGTATCTAGGTCAGCGGGACAGACTACACAGGCTGAAAATAATATGTGTTCTGTATGTTCTACCCTCGGAAAGATCGACATAGAGTGAATATGTGACCGATACGCTGAAACTTATTCGGTGGCCTCTCTGTCTTTGCCTTTAGAGGAAAGAATAAAATAGATAGACCTATCAACAAAAATACGGGTACATACATATGTAATATTTGATAACTGACAACAATATTTAGTCAAGCATTTTCTTGACCAAGCCCTCTGCTTGACTCTAGACTGAGCCCTCTACACACTTGTCCATTTACACAGACACTGCTCTCGTGGCCTAGAGGTTAAGGTGTTGGCCTCTCATTCAAAGGTCCCGGGTTCGAATCCGGGTAGCGACCAAAAAATTTTCTTCTCTAAAATTGTCTCCTTTCACCTCCTTTCCTTGCTCATAGCAATGTTCTGTTGTCTGCTTTCAATTCCACTTTCTGCCACCACCCCCTCACCTCCTTTGCCCCCTCCTCTGGGCTCCTGACTCTTTCTGTAGCCTTTCTACTGCTAATCCTTGGCTCCTCCTTACTGCTGTCTTTCTGCCACACCCCTGATCTTCTGGTAGGAAAGATCTACACCTAGCCTTCTCGGACAAGGGCGAAAAATCTCGGAGGGCCCGTGTGCAAGTTGCGCACGTTAAAGATCCCTTGGTGGTCTAAACTCGCTAAGAGTAGGCTTCGGCCGCCACCCGGGCAAAATTCTAAATTTCCTACCAACTGAAAATATTAGGTATGTCCCGCGCGCTCATATGACCTATGCAGTTGCGAGCGCCGTAAAACACTTTACAAAAACAAAAAACAAAAACTGCAAAAATTTGTTTTTCTCTCTTTTGTTGTGTCTGCTCTGTCGTTCTGTTTGACAGTTTTGACAATTTAATCATTGATGAACCGGTACATAATTTACTTTACAGGGTTTTGCTTGGTGAGGACTTAAATGAACAGAAGGAGGTCAAGGAAGAAATCAGCAAGAGCCGCAAACAGATCGAAGACAGCCGTTTGCGGTTAACAAAACTTCGTAAGGATGGATTTGAACTGGTCACCAACATCAGAGTGGCTGGCGATGCCAGAGAAGCTGCCAGACGCACTATTGAAGAAGAAGCCAAGCGACATAGGTAGTTGTCTCTAAGTCTCATTAAGTGAATCCATCCCCTTTTTATCCTGAAAGACTAGTATCCTGTTAGTACACTTGTATTGATGAAATGCCTTTCAGGTATTCCAAGATTTATTACAAATTTCTATTTCTTTTTAGTATAGCTCTCCTTTCTCATAAAAAAAACAACCCAAAAAAACCTCCCAAAACTAAATTCTGATAACAGATATGTATTCAAAATGTATTGGAGCTTTTTGGTAGTTGTCAGGAGTGTGCTTTGATGAGTCTTGAGTGAGTTGATAATTGTAAATGAATTTTGGAGACCTGGCAATGTTTTGGAAGCAAGAAGCTAAAATTGTAGGCTACATCTAATAATGATTTTGTTTTCTGTGTACAAATATTCATTACTATTGTTGGTGAGAAAACTTATTGTTGCAATACTTTGTCTTTTTTTAAACAGGAAAGAGAAACTGGAAGCTGAGGCCAAATCAGCAGCTGAGAGGTTTGAAGAGGTTTGTTGAAAATAAAATTGTAAGATTTCGAGTCTTGCATTATCCTTAGATGAAAAACATGTTGTTTCTATTGTATTTGGGGTTTTGGAAGAATGAGGTTCCCATGCTCTAAGATAATACTTTGATAAATCTATGGAATAACATGATGTAGTGTTTTTTGGCAGGTGGATTTCATTTATAGAATTTGCATTGATTCAACAACTCTCTCACAGTAACACATGTCTAGCAAAATAGTAACAAGATAGCTGGTTCTTACCTATACGCACGTCAGGTCACTGAGATATTCTTCTTCAGCTATAGATCCTCTTTTATGAATTTTTACAGTCCACACACACTTACCATGACCGGTGTCTAACCAGACTAACTACCACCGTCTCCCACTAGCAACACAGTTCACTCACGCGCAATTCCGCTTCTCGACGGGAGTGCGTTCTCGATCACACTTTTGCTGCACACCACACACATGACAACATAACACGCACGTTTCCGATTCGTCCAAAAACAACCTACAAAAAGCTCAGGGAAATCTGTTTTGTTTGAGTTGCTGTGAGACCAGTGGTTCTAAATAATGTTATGTTATCTAATTTCTAAACTAGAAGTAATCTTGTAGGGATGGTGGGGGGAATAAGGGAAAGGGAAATAGATCGAAAACTACCTGTATTGAGAATGTTTCTCTTGTCTTTTCTAGATCACCAAGAAGTGGGAGTCTGCTCTGCAGAAGGAGGTTCCGCAATCCCTTCATGAGGTGCGTTGAAAAAACAAGTGTGTACATCACTGAAAAAAATGAGAAATTTAATTTTTGAAAAATTACCAGAATTGAAAATCGTGTCGTTAAGGAAAATATTTCTTATTCAATGTTTTTAAATCTAAGAAATATTAAAACAAATTCATGAAGGCTGCGTATTTCAGGTAAAATTTGCTTGTCAAAGTTATTATTATTATTATCTGCCATAATCAGACAATTTCCATTGGTATCTCTTATCATCTGGAATGTATATCTCTTCTCGAACGTATCATAAATATCTGTAACTTCCAGGGAATACATCTGAACTTATTGCATTTTTAAAAATTCTATTACTTTTGTCATGTCAGTGAGCATCAACATTCAATTACCTTTCCATTGGTATGTGACTTGCTATTAAAAAGTTTGCTACCCATCTGTAAAAGCGGTTTTATTTCTCTACCCTCAAAATGGTTTGCTGGGTTACAAATCAAGTGCATCCAAATGGTTTCAAATGTCAAACAAGAAACAAAAACAACGTCCAGAATGAGGTATATCTGTTTGCATCATGTAAAGTTACTTTTCCCAAATGTCAATATATGAAACTGTTCAAGCCATCAACAAAATGTAATGGAGTATAATATTTTTCTGATCAATGATGATATGTATTTGATCTCTGTAGATGCTGCTCCAGCAAAAGAGGTCTTGTGATGCCATGAACGATGAGAAAAACAAATTGATCACCGAATTTCAGCAGGTAAAGACCCCTCTCTCTCTTTTTTATAGCAGATATGTTATGTCATTGTTTGTATGTATGTATGCCATTGTGAGTGGAATTTCCTTCGGGGAATCAGTAAAGTGTGGAATTTATTTATTCATTTACTTCAACAAACTTTCAGGACCTGAAAGCTAAAGATGATCTGTACGTAAAAGACCTGAAAAAGATGGCGGAGGATGTAGATCTGATGATAGAGAGACAAAACGAACAGGTGGACAACCTACAGAAAGCCCAGCGGGAGGAGTTAGCACAGATTGAGGTAGGCTCTTTTTATTGTTTATTTAGATGTTTTTTTACACCCCTCTCATCACATTTTAGCTACTTTAGAAAACAGCTTTCAACTGTCTGTTAGGGGCCAATCCGGGCTGAGAGGGATGCAGTGTCGATATTGGTGATAATATTGATAATAATAATAATAATAATTATAAGAGCATTAGTATCCCGCCTTTCTCCACAGCATGGGCCCAAGGCGTACATAGGAGATTAAAAACGCATTCATTCTAACACCATACAAATTCATCATGTGCTTACTTTTTGACAGCAACATTCTTTCAGACAATAAAAAATGCTCATACAAAAAGGCAAAGGTACTGTCCATTAAGTAAAATATTTCTTAAATAAATGTGTTTTGAGTCCCCTTTTGAAGGTATCAAGTTTTATTTCGCTTCTCAAATCATGAGGGATAGTGTTCCAAACTGTTGGCCCTGAAAAAGAAAAAGCTCTCTCACCATATTTCTTCAGTGACACCCGAGGTGTTGAAATTAGTCTAGAGCCTCTGGATCTTTGTTCACGTGATGGTGTGTATGGTACAATGAGTTCTTGAATGTTATGTGGGAGACTAATGAAGAAGATAGCTTCTATAGTGCCCACTCCTGTACAATACAGCTCTATTCACCTTACAACACCTTCATCTTAACTCAAAATATGTCCATGAAAGTGCATTCATGCACTCTTTAAGCTAACACTGACACATAAGCAGACTTTTATACTGTCAGAGTACAACTGATGCCGATATGCACGTCACATTTATGAATGTAATAGATAGTACTGAGAATAAAAAGGACTAACTATCGAGATGGTATTTCATAAGGTATTTTAAAAATTGAGTTTTAAATTTTGCTCTGACTTCATGACTTTCAAATGTTGTGGAAGAGAGTTCTAGGTAGGTGGAAGTAGATGACAAATGGACCTCCCAGACAGTTTTTGACCTTTCTGTTCTTAAGAGTTAATCTCCTAATTTTGGAAATCTTGGTGGAACATACGAGGGGCATACCAAAAGTTTTTTACCTGACCATAAAGGAATAAAGGTAGAAAGCTGAAATTTGGGGTGAAAGCCAACAATCATCTTTCTGGAATGCTTGTAAATTTTGGGGAATTTCAGATTACTGGTTTTACCACCAGCGTGCTGTAAGTGAATAGGGGTATGTTGTTCGGCAATTTAAACAAAAAAATTGAGAAAATTGAGCGTTGGGCTGTAATGAAGTATTTGTTCTTGCAAGGCAAGCAACTACAGGATATTTTTACTGCATGGCGTATATGGAACTGATTGCCCATCCTATGCTGTGATAAAATTTTGGTATAAAAAAAGTGATGATGAGGTCAAAGAAGCGGTAGAGGGCTGGTTTTCTGACATAGAGAGGGTCCTCTATTCTCAAGGTCTTTTCAAGGTCATACACAGATGACAACCATGTATAACTCTGGGAGGCGACTACAGAAAAAAAGACTAAGCTTAGTACTAAATTTCAGGTTTCTACCTTTATTTCTTCATGGTCAGGTAAAAAACTTTTTTAAGCCCCTCGTACATTCGAAAGTACAAACAACCATTCCCCCCCCCCCCTTACATTTAAAACAAAATATTATGAAGCTAAGACTTTCACCTGTTTAATATAATCACTTTTCTCCCTGACAATAGATGTCTGTCTTGGACAATATTTGACTGTATATTGAAAAAAAACCCATACTACATTTGCAAAGTACTGCAAGCTTAGTTGTTAAATACCAGTTGTGAACGTTATCCATTTTTTCGTTACCAACTTCCAGAGGGCTTTTGTCATGGAGAGAAATGAACTGTTGGAGCTTCAAAAGAAGAAATGGGAGGAGAAGATGGGGTTCCGCTGCGAAAAAGAGGAAGAGTTCCTGGTGGCTCGCTCCAAAAGAGTGGATGATTTCGAACAGCAGCTGCAGCACTTGCGAGTTCAGGACGCGGAGGAGTACAACATGGTCAAGATCAGGCTGGAGACAGATGTGCAGGTCAGATACCATACCCATCACCAATTTTTTTTTGTTTTGGTTTGTTTCACTAAAGGTCAACCGAATGTGAGCTATCACTATTTTTCTTGTGTTTTTTATTATGACCGATCAAGGTGTGCTTTGTCTTCCCCTGATTCAAAGTAAATTCTTTGTACGCTTAAATTGTTGGTGTAGACTAGAAATGGCTGCTGGTGTGTGGTAATGCTGCATGGCTTGATGTGGAAAAATTAATCTGTTAAAAGAGCCGAAAGTTTGATTCGCAAACATCATTTATTTGTCTGTTTCTATTCACTGTGATGTATGTTGACTCATTTTGTCTGCCAGTTCCCATTGTAATGTGTTTTCTAGACTCAGATTATTTGAGTCGCTCATGCTTAGTTTCTCGCTCTATTCAGTGTAGGTAGGCTTTTGAGATCACTGATTTTGTTTTATGATCACTCTTCATGATATCAGTTACCATCTTAACCCCACTTTAATATTTTTCTGATTTTCCTTGAATAGTATAATAAAGGGGAAAGCAAAACGTATTCAGTGCTCCTACTAGACTGTAAAAAAAAGAGTTGTTTTCAGATTAAAAAAAATTATTTCTTTTACTAAGCTTGCTTAGAAACAATAGTTTTCACTGCTTGAATAAAGATAACTCTAATTTTCACTGCTTGAATAAATATTAGTAATTTCCATAGCTTGTATAAAGATTACCGTTGTCATTTTGGCTCTCAGATTCTTGAGCAGCAGTTGCAGCAGATGAGAGCAACGTATCAGTTGAACCAGGAGAAACTGGAGTACAACTTCCAGGTGTTGAAGAAGAGAGACGACGAGAACACCATCACAAAGTCACAGCAGAAGAGGAAGATCACAAGGTGAGGAGGAGAATGCACAAGAAATGACATAAACATAAAAACATAAATTACACTTTTATTTGTCCCAGAAAGGCTTGTTTTACAATGGCAAATAAATACATAATTATAAATATGTACATACATAAATACATACTTGCATGAATACATACATGCATAACATACATAAATACACACTATTACACAAACACAGAACAGTTTACAACAATGCCACTGTCGATCGCCACTGTGCAGCGCCCTGTATTTTGAGCTAAGGTTGTCATGTCTTGCTCAAGGACACATCCCAATGACCACCCATCTGATCCCCGTGTCACCGACACTTGCTTGACATTGCTTGAGTCTAAACTCACTACTCACTTAGCCACTTACAGTTAAAGCACTCGCAGGGTCATAAAACCAGCTACTTACGTGCTCGGTATTGAGACTCTTTTATCATAAATTGTACTTTCAGACTGTGTGTTTAAAATATTCCAAGATTTTAATGATTTCAATATAGCTGTTACGCTACCTGAAAAATGACCTTTCATTCTTGTGGCTTTACGAAAGAAGTATTTTCATGTCAATGTGACATGTCCAACCCATTTTTCTGTTTTACCTCTACAATGTATCTAAGCCTTAGGTTTCCTTTTAATTTTCAAGCTTGTTATGACCGTCATAACCTGCTCAACTGTGGATGGTTGGTCAGAGCTTTCTTGCACTCTTTCTATTTCTATTTATTGTCTTCAAATGACCATCAGCTCTGCATACCTCGGTTCAGAACAATGTTAGGTGAAAGGGCTTTTTCCATCTGTCCCCCAAAATTTTGGAACAATTTGGATTTAGATGTTAAAATGTCTCTTTCAATTAATTATTGATCAATTTAAATTAAAGTTGAAGACAATGTTTTTCAGAAAAGTATATTTATAATGCTGTAGCTTTATATCTGAAATATATGTCAGTTTTTTGTTTAAAAAAAAATTTATGCATGTCATTGTGTTACTGAGCGTTAGAGCTATTGTGTGTGTGTGTGTGTGTGTGTGTGTGTGTGTGTGTGTGTGTGTGTGTGTCTAGCTTGTCATCCCGTAGGTCACAACACGTTTGGTGACTTGGTTCGCGAGTTCGCATTCTTCATTTCGTTGAGCCTGTGACCTTTTAAAAATGTTGATGTTTTTACGCCCCTCTCGGCGCAATTTAACAATTTAGGAGGCGAGCTTCGTCAGAGTTAACTTGTTCACATATGTCTTCTAGATAGATAGATAGGAGAAAAAGAAAGAAAAGGAGAGAGAAAGAGAGAAAGTGAGAGAGGCAAGAGAGAAAAGAATACAGGTATGTATTGTGTGTGTGTGTGTGTGTGTGTGTGTGTGTGTGTGTGTGTGTGTGAGAGAAACAGCAATTGGAAAGTAGAGGTAGATAAAGAAAAAAGAGACATAAAGACAGAGAAAACATACAGATCCACAGACAAATACATTGTCAGATAGATGGAAACATAGAAACATACGAGTAGATAGAGATTGATAGAGATAAATTAAAGATCGAGAAAGAGACAAAATGGTGATCGATAGAAAAAAGAGACCGACAGATAGACAAACAGAGACTGGAGGAGAAAAAATATAAAAAGAAAGAATGAAAGAAACAAAAGACAAGTAGCGGAATAGAAATGATAGTGAAAGGAAAATAAAGAAACAGACTGAGTGAAAAAGATCGAAAGAAAAAGAGAGAGAGAAAGAAATTTAGATATAATGAGAGCAAGAAAGAGAGAGAGTTAGATAGATAGATAGATAGATAGATAGAGAGAGAGAGAGAGAGAGAGAGAGAGAGAGAGAGAGAGAGAGAGAGGGGGGGGGCGTGGTGTCTGCCTCTCGTACAAAAGGTGCAGAGTTCGTAATCTGACAGCGACGGAAAAAAATCTTCTTTATAATTGTCTGCCTGCACCTCCTTTCCTTCTAGTCCAACACAACTCGTTGCCCATTGGCCATTCTCCACTTCCTAGTACCGCGTACACTTGTAAGCTGGACTTTACGTACGGTACCATTTTTTTTTTTAATTT